CAAAATGACAGCAACTTGTCTGTTCCCCTTCCCCCAATTCCCCAGCACTGTTCCCATCCCCCCAATTCCCCAATAAAAAAAAAAGAAAAAAAAAACATGATCCTTATCTCATTCTGTGTTGCCAAGACAACTAAGAATTAAGCATAAAATTTCCTTTTTGTAAAAACAAAAAAATCACTAACTTTAACCCCCATGAGCAGATTTAACCTGAACTGTAAAATTAACCTAAAACTCAGAAAGCAGAGTAACCGAGCATTGGCTAGGCTCTAACCACTGGTAGTCAGATGCACCTGTAACATGGTTTGTATACTTGGTCAAGCCACTCACCCACTCTATGCCCATTCCCTGATCTGTAAGATGAGGATTACACACACACACACACACACACACACACACACACACACACACACACAGAGCTATTATAAAAATTCAATGAAATAAGTCATATGAAAGACCTAGTGGGGTGGCAGGCCCAGCACATAAGCATTCAAAAAATTTTAGCTGCAAATATTTTAATAATGATAATATTTGTGTGAAATGAAACAGAAATTCAATTATTTTAAATAAAATGTTAATTCCACTGAATTCAACGTATATTTATTGATCATCTACTATGTGCCAAGCACTATTCTAGGCAAGTTTTCTATCAGCAAATAAAAACAGAGAAAAACCTCTCCCATTGTGAAGTTTTCGTTCTTGCATGACATGAGAGACAGCGAATAAACAGCACACATAATAAATCAGTAAAATTTTTTCAATAAATTTTATTTAGGTTCACTAAATTTTTTAATTTAGATATAACTGACTTATGACATTATATTAATTTCAAGTGTACATGATTCGATATTTGTATATATAGTGAAATGATCACCACAGTGTCTTAAATAACATCCATCACCACACATTACAATTTTTTTTCTTGTAATGAGAACTTTTAAGATATATCCTTTTAGCAACTTTAAAATATACAATATTATTAACTGTAGTCACCATACTGTACATTAAACCCCCAGGACTTATTTGTAAGTTGAAGTCATACCTTTTGATTCTCTTTGTCCATCTTACCCCACCCCCAATAACACAGGAGCCACCAGCTGCATGTGACTCTGGAGCACTTGAAATGTGACTAGTGTGATTGAGGAACTGAATCTTTTGTTTTATTTAACTTTTATTAATTAAAATGTAAAGGGCCACATGTGGCTAACGGCTACCATACAGAATATGCATTTCTTTAGCATCTGAGACAGTGATAAGCATATGGAAAAGGCAAGGCAGAGGAGGGTAAAGACTGGGAGTCCCAAGAAGAAAGAGAGGCAGGCTGCCCTGTGAATTGGGTGGTCAGGACAAGCCTCATGAGAAAAGTGACAGCATGCAGGGCTGCAGACAGCAGAGCAAAATCCCCAAAGAGGGAGCATGCTGAAATGTTCAAGGAATGTGTGTAATATGGGCAGCCAGTGCAGGGTTCTGAGAAGGGTGGTCTAATCTAATAAATGGATCACACTGGGTGCTATATTGAGAACAGAAGGGCGAGGACAGAGGCTAATCTGCCACAAGTTATTATATAATCTAAGCAAGAAATGATACTACAATACTTTGGACGAAGTTGGTGACAGTGGAGGTGGCATGAAGAGATCATCAGCTGGATCTATTTTGAAGGTACAGTCAACAGGATTTTCTAATGTCTTGGATGTGCAGTATGAGAGAAAGAGAAGTGTCAATGATTTCTACAAAGTTTTTGGCCTAAGCAAAAGAGTCACTATCAACTGAAATAAAGCAAGCTTTGGAGATAATAAGCAATGGGGATGAGGAGGTAAATACCATGTGTTCAATTTCAGACATCAGAAGTTTGATGTCTGTTAGATATGTGAATGTGTGTCCAGCATCCAAGTTTGGATTCCAGGACAAGGGACTGGGTGGCAATAAACATTTTGGCAAATAGATGGCATTTTCCATCCAAGGGGCCGAGTAAGATTACCAAGGCAATACATATAGCATCTCAGGACACTCACACATCTAGGGAAAGGAAGAGGGACCAGCAAAGGACACTGCCAAGGAGCAGCCAGGGAAGAAGGAGGAAAACTTAAAAATAAAAAATAAAAGGCCATCTTATTCTCTGAGAGCGACAACTAAAAAAATCATACCTACTCATTTAGACAACTTAAAAACAAATAAAAACCAAGACAAAAATAAGCCCTGTAGGGAGTGACGTTAGCAGCATGGTAGTGTGAGAAGACCTCCAAGTCTCTTCCCTTGAAGTTACAACAATTTGGACAGCTATAATTCAACATAGGATTCCCTGCTCAATACACAAACACATCTGAAAAACCCATACATTGAGACATCTGAAGGTGAGTGTATGTAAGCAAACGGTGAAGGGGATTGGGGAACGGCAAAGATGGAAGCCACGCACTACTCGGCACTTCCCA